CACACTGATACTGGGAATTTCGTTCTTTTAAATTGGAATGGAAAATTATTTGGTATTATGGGAATTCTGGGAATAAAGACGGTTTCTCCTGCACCGCAACCTGTTAAAATTTAAGCCTCGATTATATTTTGTTGCAACTGGGTTACTTTTAGCCGAGTTCCATTGCAAAGTTGTGGTGGTCTTAAATTTCGTAGCAGAATAATCGGAATACCAATTTTTAAACAAATTTCATGAGAAGGAAGTCCGGGCATATTTAAAGAATTTAAAAATTCTATCGGGTAATTAGTGGCTTCTTGTTCATCGATCATTCTATTTATTGAACTATAAACTTTGCTTTCCCCCTGTATATTCGACAGTATTTTGTTATTAATCTCAGATGCCTGGTCATTGCGAGGAGTTAAAATGGATCTTTCGCATAGCCAAGAATTGTCCCTATTTAATATAATTGTTACGTCACCGTAAACCGACGATATAAGATGTGGTTGGGATTGCACTATACAACATAACTCAGGCGTCAGAATAAGTTTTCCTTGGTGTAGTTGTAGATAGGTACCTTCACCATCTTTAATAATTTATCAGAAAATTGACGATCATCCGGGTTATCTCCAGTTCTCACTCGCATGTTTATAGTCAAATGTACCGATTGTATATCACGCCACAAATAAGAGCTTTTTGGGCAAGCCCTAACCTCATCATCTCGGGTTCCCCGTGGTATTGTCGGAAATCACCACAAAATAAAACCGTGATACCGCTCATTGGTCGATCATTTTGTCTTATCCCCTAAAGTTCTGTCTACCGCTTCTACTCCTTTTCGGTGGGCCATCGTACATTCATCCCATATGATTAAATTACACTCACGTAATACCTTAGCTTTATCGCTATTTCTTGAAATACTACAGGTTGGACTTGTCACACCCAACTTTCACTACCAAACGTTAAAGTAGGGACCAACACAGCATTGTGAATTGCCATACGTGCCTTTTTTTGACACATTTTGACTCTTCACAATAGAGTGCAAGGCCCCATTTACTCTATTTCCCGCATTCACTCGTCGTTCTATATCCTTATCATATCTCCCATCCCTGCTAAATACGCAGCCCAAATATACAAACTCATCTACTTGCTCGATCAACTCCCCTTCTATTCTTATTTCACAACTCGTTTTACTTTCTTCTCTTTCAAAAACCATAACCTTCGTCTTACTTGCGTTCACTTTCATACCCCTTTCTTTTAATGATCCGTTCATTAATGTAACCATCATTTGCAACTCGGCCGCCGACGACGCAAGAATGATTTGATCATCGGCGTACAAAAGGCATTTGACGGTTAACTCACCCATTCTTAATCCGCATTCTTCAACTTTCAAATTTTGCAAACAACTGTCCATAAATAGGTTGAACAGCCACGGGGAAGCCACACAGCCCTGTCTGACACCTTTATGGATGTCAAACCAGTCTGAGTAGACCCCGTTGATCCTAACACAAGCACTAGAGTCCCTATAAAGAGACTCCAATGCCTGTATCAAGCCAGCGCTCAACCTAAATGAGTTCAGTGTTTGCCATAGCAAATCCCTATCCACTCTGTCATAGGCCTTTTCCAAGTCCATGAACGCACAAAAAACCTTTTGGTTTTTGGCCAGAAACTTCTCCGCGATCATGCGCATGGAAAAGACTTGATCTGTACATCCCATTCCCTTTCTAAATCCCGCTTGCACATCCCAAATTTTTCCATCAGTTTCTTTCATGACCCTTTCAATCAGTACCTTAGCGTACAGTTTTCCCACAATGCTAAGAAGGCTGATGCCACGGTAGTTTTTACAGTCCTGCTGCGACCCTTTTCCTTTATATACTGGGACTATCACGGCTTTGCACCAGTCTACCGGTACCCGCTTCAGTTCCCAGCATAAATTAAACAAGGTGTGCAGCAGGCCTGCCACCACCTCCTCTCCAGCCCTTAGCATTTCGAGTGAAACTCTATCATATCCGGGCGCCTTACCTAATTTCAAGCTTTTCATTGCTTTCATTATTTCATCTATACTTATCTCGCTACCTCTTTCCTCTTCTTTCGGAGTTTCTACTTCACTTCGTACACATGTTGTCTCCTCACTCATACACGCTTTCAAAATATTCCTTCCATCTCTTTAAACTCAAAACTTCATCATTCAGAATATAGCCATTCTCGTCTCTTATAGCATTCATCATAGGCTGTTTTGAATGTCCCCTGGCAGTTCTTACCAGTTTCCAGAACATTTTAATATTTGCCTGGAAGTTATCCGATATTATTCTATCATTCTTTCAACTACTTCTTTTACTCTCTTATTAAGATGTCTAAAGACCGCCTTTTCTCTTTCAATATCATCATTCGTACCGCTAGAATTACCAGCCTTTGTTGCTAGTAAATCTAGCCATGCTCTCTTCTTTGCTTCAACTTCCATACGTATCTCATCATCCCACCATAACGTATTATTTTTCCTTTCATTCTTTCTCTTACTAACACCACATACTTCGGTAGCTGCATGCACTAAACCTTTCTTTACATTTTGCCATACATTCTCCAAGTCTAACTCCTTCATACATAATTCATCCAAACCTTACTTACACTAAGTTCTTTAGACAAAATAAAAAAATAAAACCGGCAAAAACGAAACGTATAGATAAACTAGACGCGTGACGTCAAAAACGTGTTTCGAACGACGAAAAAACATGAAACGTTAAACGCGATATAATTTTTGACAAATATATTTTTGAGGGTCAGAATCCAGCCCTAGCCTAATCTTGGTAACGTAACTGAACTGACTAACTGTATAATAAAACTTTGAAAATACGTTGATTGTATTGTAATTTTTGCATCCTTTTACCACACAACTAGGGATATTATGACAGGCAAAACTGTCCGGCGCGCGTACCACTGTCGACTGCGTCGCGTTGGCCCTAAACTGTCATTTTAGGGCCAGTGTACTGGTCCGATTTAGTTGCTTGGTCGGCCCGGTCCTTACGCTAGTAATATATAAGTCAATGGGCTAGAATTAGTCCGAACAATTCCCCAGAGCACTCCCCGTGGTTAATGCGTTAAAATACGCATAGATGTAACATCTCTCCGCAGTGCCAGTGATTCAAACCGATCGGAAAGCGCTCGGTCGCCGACGTTTCGAACGGCTCTGTGCTGGATGTGATCAAATGGAAGGAACCAAGCCAGCTCTTCAGTATTCCATGTGCGGCCGAACCTGCGCCTTGTAAAGTTGCAAGCGGTGTGCCGACAAATACTGCCCTGCTTAAGATGCTCTGCTGAGCACCCCAAGCTTTTTAGAGGCCAATTTAGCCTTCTCTTCCAACTGACCACGAAACTGCACGTAACTCGATATCTCGACGCCGAGGATTCCGATACTGGCTAAGGCAATGAGGGGAGTGCCATGAAACTGAGGAGATACGACGAATAGGTTCTTTTTAGCGGTAATAGCGCAAACTTTTATCTTTTGAGGATTGAACTGGATTAAATTTAGTCACCCCCAATAATAGAATTTGTTCAACAAAGTCTCGACTTCAGACACACGTTTGTCCCGGTACTCGGCGACGTTTTGCCGAGAAATATTGGCACGGCCGGTGTATAAGGCATCACCAGTGCTTTCGTGCGCATAACAATGAATGTTAGGTTTGCATCATATCATTGATACGCAGAAGAAACAACGTTGGTGATAGCGCGCAGCCTAGTGGAGCACCAGGGTTAATGGGCTTGTAATTGGAGCATGCACCGTCGACTACGACCTTAATGCACCGATCTACAATAAAATTGGTAATCCAATTGCACAATTTCTCGGAAAGCCCATAGGAAGGAAGCTTCGTAAGAAGCGCTTTGTGCCAAACCCGACCGAAAGCCTTCACTAAGTCCATACTAACGGCCAACGCCTCCCCCTTGGACTCTACTGCCTCCGCCCATCTATGAGTTAGGGAACCAAGAAGATCCACCAGCCGAGGCGTCGGAAACACTCTAACGTACACGCAAACTTAGAGGGGCACAAAGGAGTGTTCTAATTTGTACCCTGGGTAGGATAGACACGAAGTATCAGCCAGAGAGGACACCTGTGTCTTGGTTAAAAAAAGCAAGGAAAAGAAAAGTAAAAGCAGCTTCGCCGCAGATGCAGAAATTCACAGTGGCAGGAGGCGCCTTTGTCTTAATGCTCCGGTTGCCTCGAGCAGATTTAATCTCGATCGGAATTACACCACCCCCCACCCCCTCCCGCTCAGGAAGAGTGGGGTAGTTTGGGCGTGGATGCCCAACGAGGGATTCTCCGTCACCAGGGCTGCTGGTATCTCTCCTGGGGTAGTGTTCCATTTAATTCCGCTACCATGTAAATAAGGGCGGGACGGGATTGGGCCTTCGGCCACCTGCACTCGTCAGACTAAATGCAGAAGCAGAGCTTCTACTTCACGCTGGTCTTCTGTGAGGTCGTGGTGCCACCTCGGTTCTAGCCGAGGTGGCAGCACTAGTGCCCATGAGTGCAAAGCCAAGTGATGATTATGGCAAATTATCCCATTTAATGGGACAAGCCTTTGTTGTGTGTGACTTTTAAGTAAAGTAAAGTAAAGTTACAGCCTATATACGTCCCACTGCTGGGCTCAGGCCTCCCCTCATTTCTGAGAGGGTTTAGGGCAAGGAAGTGTCCGCCGCGCTGCCCAAATGCGTGTTGACGAACTTCACATGTCTTCGAAATATTTTTTTTTCTTATTCCTCAGACATGCAGGTTTCCTCACGATGTTTTCCTTCACCACCGAGCACGTGGTAAATCAGCACTTAAAATTGCAATTAACAATTTCATCGGTGCCGGCGGGGATCGAACCCGGGTTACTCGCGTTCTGTTATATTTACAGCGAGCGTTAACCACTGAGCTACCACGGCTGTGACTTTTACAAGCTAGTAAAGATAAATGCAATCATATCCTAATATTGGTATTGTAATGAAAAATGAAATACAATTTATTGATTTGAACAAAAATTATAATATCGTCATGAAGTCTTTGTATCCATTGTACTTGTACAGATGATTTCATTCAACACTGTGAAAACACAATTGACTATTTCAGGTGTTTTCATTTTAATTGTACCATTTGATTTTACTTCAGCCTTCGGAAGAGTCACCTCAATAAGATCCAATGCTGTCACATCTAAACTGACACTGTAGAAAACTTGAGTCTGCAAGAGTTGATATGCTAAAGTTACTTGCTCAGAAACTTTAGTAATATCTTTTTTAATTCTGTAAAAAAAATTGCACTGACTATCCAACTTTGTCATATTGATAAAGTATTGTTACTAGAACATAACATTAAACTTCAAATCATGTTGTGCCTTAAATAAAAAACTATCTAAATTTAATAATAATAACAAGAAAAGAAATTCGCTATATTTTCATTCAATGCATCACCAGCACGCAATTATCTCACCATGTTGATTGACGAGCAAGGCTCTAGCAATAGATTTTTGAAGGAATATCTATCACAATCAAATCAAATCTTAAAGCCCGTCGATTTTTTACCATAATATGTGTCAGCTATACACTCACCATTCCACTTTCAAAAATATTTGTAATAAATAGCACATTTATGAAAGGCTGTGGTCGGCAATGGACTCAAGAAGCAGTAAAATAAAACTGTAAAGGGTGATAAATACTTATACACCAGCTTGCGAAACAAAACATGGTAGAGCCATGCTGCAATCATAAGTAACTGCAACATGAATGAGTTGGCCTGTTAAGTCCGCTAACACGCCTAAAGCAGCAGCGGTCTGTGCCCAGCAGTGGAATATATTATATAGGCTGTGACTTTGCTTCATGTGTAACCTATCAACAGTTATCCTCACCTACCAGTATTTGATGTAAATTTAGTGTTATTAGACTGTATTTCTTAGTATACCACATGTCCAATAAAACCATGTACAATTTAGGTATTTTGTAAGTTTCAATGCATAACAATATATTACCAGTGTGTAGTAGATTTACATTATAGCCTATAAAAGTCTACAACTGAACACAGGTCCCCTGATAGATTGCCCACTATAGGGAGATGTTTGCCATAATCACCATGTTTGGCAGGTAGATTGGCAACCACAGTATTTTTTTTTTTAATTTTAGTTGTTGTTAGGAAGTTTTTGTGGTAGAGCCATGCTGCAGTTATATTAGTAGTATAGTTGTAGCACGAATGGGTCAGCTCGACCGGGGAAGGACCACGCTCTCACAGAATACCAGCGTCAAATAGTAGCTTAATGCTGCCGTGTTTCGTTTGGTTAGTGTAGAGAACCGGAGACTTTTTACTGGAAACGAGGTGTTCCATCTTAATCCTCACGGATGACAACGCATCTACATTTTGATTCGTAGTCGAGGATAGATGTAGATGTCTATGGGCCACAGCAACCACTTACCATCAGGTGGACTGTGTGCTCATTTGTCACCCTATCCTATTAAAAGAAGCTGCTGCCCATATGGTTTGTGTCCCTCTGTCGCCACTTGCGACATCCATAAAAAGACAGTAATGATATGATAGTATGTAATAGATAATAGTTATTATTTACCCATTCCAAATGATGAGCACATCACCAACTTCAAATGTCAAACTAAGCTTATTCTTATGTCCTACTTGTTGTGTTCTATAGACAAGCTTAAAAGGGTCAGTGCTACGTGATGTGTCATTTTCAACAAAGTTGAAACCAAATTGTAGTAGTTGATGCTGAAAATATATTTTTTAATTAATTCCTTATGCACATAACCAAAACAAATACAATACAATAACTAGCTAAATGGGCTAGTTAAATAATTTAATAATATAAAACAATCTTCAGCATCAAGCAACTAAACAACTTCTATCTTAAGTTCAAAAGAGGTAAATTCCTTTGTCCCCTTCAAAGTATATTGTCACACTTTGACAGCTTTTCCTTGTCTAATACTTTACGTTTCACACCACTAGCCATGTACAATATGTCAAGAAATTAATTAAGTGTTATGCAATTACTTCTAAACCAAATATCTGATATTGAAGAACATTGTGGGAAATCAAAAACTTATAAATAAGTATTTGTAGTAAGACGATCACTGTGGTATGATGAAATAAAATAGATGCAGATGCAATTTGGTCTAACCATACTATTGAGTTTTTATTTTTATTTAGCTTCCGAAAACCAAACTCATTAGATCAACTTCCAAAAGAGAAATTTTCATTAATTCATTAGAGCTCAACAAAGTCTACCGCTAAACATAGGCTTCCCCTTAGATTGTCTCATAACAGGGATATTTGCCATAGTTGCCACATTTATACATAGTAGAGCCACCCTGCAGTTATATTGTTTGTAGCATGAATGGGTCGGCTCGACTGGAGAAGGACCACACTCTACAGAATACCAGCGTAAAATAGCAGCTTAGTACTGCTGTGTTTCGTATAGTGAGTGTAGAGATTCAGAGACCCTTTTTTACTGGAAACGCGGCATTCCATCTTATTCCTCAGGGGTGACAACGCATCTGCCTTTTGATTATAAATGTAGATGTCTATGGGCCACAGCATTCACTAACCATCAGGTGGATTGTGTGCTCGTTTGTCACACTTATTTATAAAAAAAAACCTTGGCAGATAAGTTGAGAACTGCAGTTTTTTACATTCTAGTTACTACTAAGAAGATGCCTGCCCATCTCTTATTTGTAAGCATATAATGTGAGTGCATCACAAAATAAGTTGTTATGTTTGAATAATGTAATGAAATTTATATTTTTACTTTAATTTTTAGAATTACCTGTCTAAAACAAAATTGTGTAATGTTGCAGTCAAACATGGTCTGTATTGTTGTTTTAACAGCAGTGCCAATCCTTTGTTCTCCTCGTTCTAGTATAAATGGTAGATGAACAGCACCAGGAATTTTTGTGCTAACACCCCAGGAAAGAAATATACTGGTGTAAATCACTTTGGGTTCACTGGATTCTTGGGATGAAGACACTGTAATCTAATGAAATATCATATAAATAGTTTTATAAATATTGTATATAATATGATATCTTTAATTTGACTGCTGCACAATGGCAGAATAAATAAATTACCAATCTGCTACAATCAATGAGTGTAACAAAGTCAACATAGTAATGGCCTATAGCAGGGATGAACATGCTATAGAACATGCTATTTTTCTAAAGAAATGTGTAATGAGGTCACAGACATAGTGTAAAATAATTTTGACTTTGTCTTGCCAGGCAGACATTGTTCCGCCCTTTTCGACGACCCTTTGTCATGTCCTATTAAAAATTCTTAAATTCGCAAAAAAAATGTGGGTCACTCATGGGCAAAATAACTATCCTATCTCTCACCCGTAACTTAGTGTTAACAACACAATTGATTATGAAAATGAATATGTATATCTGGGTCAAGTAATCTCGCCAACAGATGCAACTTCAAAAGTAATTGATAGACCCATTGGGAACGCATGGAAACAATATTGGAGTCTGAAAGAGATTATGAAAAACGGAGAAATAAGTATGACCATCAAGCGGTAACTGTTTGATACTTGTATATTGCCTGTATTGACATATGGTTGCCAAACCTGGGCACATCTCACAACAGAAAAATTGCAGTGTGCCAAAATGCTATAGAAAATAGTATGAAACACACCGGAACAAGGGATGATACAGTAACCATAAGAAAACTGAATTGGAAATGGATAGGACATACAATTGGGGGCAAACAAAAATGGTCAAAAACAATAATGTTCTGGTTTACAAGATACAGGAGAAGGAAACGAGGCAGACCATCCATAAGATGGATCGAAGAAATAAAGGCTGTTGCAGGTGGCACATGGACAAGAGTGGCTGGTGATAGAGAAAAATGGTCACAGTTGGAGGAGGCCTTTGTCAAAAGAGGCACACAGACAGGGATGTTGAAGCAAAATTAGTCTAAAACAAAAAAATATAATATGGAAGAATGTATCAACTAACTTTGTCTGAATAAAAGGCTTTTATTATAATTATTATTAACACTCACACTGCACATGGTGTGCAAATTTGATTAAAATCGGTTAAGTAGTTTAGGAGTCCATCGCGGATAAACAACATGACACATAATTTATATATATACATATATATGAGCAAAATACCACTGACTGACTGACTTGAAATTTAGTAAAGTTACTTATTTTACAATGTCACTCACTAAGAATGGATGCTACGATAGTCCTATCAAAAAAAACATCTTGATATTTTACATCTAGGTTCCGCAATAAAATATTATTGTACGCCTAGCGGGTATCAGCTAGTACAGCTATAATATTAAATATCATCCTCTTCAAGTGATACTACTGGGAACAGACCTCTCTTTGCAATTATAAAATTTTATGTATTATATAAAGTAAAAGTAAAGTAACAGCCTATATACGTCCCACTGCTGGGCACAGGCCTCCCCTCATTTCTGAGAGGGTTTTAGGGAAAGGAAGTGTCCGCCGCGCTGCCCCAATACGTGTTGGCGAACTTCACATGTCTTCGAATTTTTTTTTCTTATTTCTCGGACATGCAGGTTTCCTCACGATGTTTTCCTTCACAGCCGAGCACGTGGTAAATCAGCACTTAAAATTGCAATTAAAAATTTCATTGGTGCCGGTGGCGATCGAACCCGGTTTGCTCACATACTGTGAAATTTACAGCGAGCGCTAACCATCTGAGCTACCACGGCTCTTATGTATTATATATACATAAATATATTATACATAAATACATATATGTATTATATATACATAAATATATTTTATAATTGTAAGGAGAGAATACTATCAGAGAAAATATATACCCGATTCCTTAAAAAGGCGACTGCTCAGATCCGTCAAACTACAGGCCTATCGCCATCACCTCCAAAATAATGCAATCTATTATAAACTGCCAGCTCATGTAGTCCCTTGAGGATCACCAGCTGATTAGTGACCGCCAATATGGTTTTCGTCATGGTCGATCAGCTAGTGATCTTCTGGTCTACCTGACTCATTGATGCGCGGAGGCAGTAGAGTCCAAGGGAGAGGCATTAGCCGTTAGTTTGGACATTGCAAAGACCTTCGATCGTGTTTGGCACAATTAATGCTGGCGTTCCACAAGGCTGCATGCTATCACCAACACTATTTCTTCTGCATATCAATAATATGTTGCGAACCGGTAACATTCATTGCTATGCGGATGACAGCACTGGTGATGCTCTGTACGCTGGCCATGTCAATATTTCTCGGGAAAAGTCTCCTAGTACAGGGACAAACTTGTGTCTGAAGTCGAGTCTTTGGATTGAGGGCGACTAAATCTAGTCCATTTTAACCCTCAGAAGACACAAGTTTACGCGTTAACCGCTAAAAAGAACGTGCAGTTTCGTGGTCACTTGGAAGAGAATGCCAAATTGGCCTATAAAAAGCTTGGCGTGCTCAGCAGAGCGGGACAGTATTTCAAGCGGGCACACCGCCTGCAACTATACAAGGCGCAGGTTCCGCCACACATGGAATACTCTTCCCATCTCTGTGCTGGGGCTCCCTAGTGCCAGCTCCTTCCACTTGACCGCATCCAGCACAGAGCGGCACGAATCGTCGACGACCGAGTGCTTTCCGATCAGCTCGATTCACTGGTGCTGCAAAGAGGTGTTGCATCACTTTGCGTATTTTATCGCATCTATCGCGGGTAGGGATATTCCGATACTAGTAAATATGAGTAGGTACTTGATACTTTTGATTCAATACCAAGTATTTATAGCATCGAATCAATCTTACGATACATACTCGGTATCGAAACAAAAGTACTTGGTATCAAATAGAATCAAAATAAACAATTAAAAAATTTTTTTTTCGAACACATCAGTCAGGAAGGGTATTCAAAAACTTAGAACCATGGTTGTCGGACAATTAAGTAACCCAAGTGAGTCAGAAGATGATGTCTCATCTATTGCACCACCTGAATATGATTTTTGGAAACATCATAAGGAGTTAGCACATGGACACAAGAAGAAAAAGAAATCTCATCAGGGAGATGAAGTTTCTCTTTATTTATCAAATCCAGTAGTTTCTCTTAAAAGCAACCCATTTGCAGAATGGGATGACATGAAATTTGTTTTTCCTTGTCTGTACAAGTATGCACAGCAATATTTAATAGTTGTGGCAACGTCAGTTCCTAGCGAGTACCTTTTTTCCAAAGCCGGTGCTATGATGTCTCACACAAGGAAAAGATTGTCTCTGAAATACCTAAAACAGGTACTGTTTTTGGGCAATCTAGATTTAATTTTATTTAGAGTTTTAGAGTTTTTTCTTTAAACTTTAAACAAAAACTCTTTGACATTAAGGCGCGGTTAGCTCAGAAAAGGTGGTTGGAAAAGTAGTGTATTTTAAAAAATAAGACTACTTTAGAAATAAAAATACTGTGTAATAGTAGAGGTATTTAGAAAGAGTCGTTTGACGTTTATAATAAAAGATATTTTTTTCCTTGTCAATTTTGTTTTAATTATTGTCCTTCAAAGTTCATTGTTTTTACGTTAGTAAAAAAAAATTTGCTAAAAGCATCGATATCAGTAAGTATCGATACTTTAGGAGTATTTATATAAGTAGTATCGAAAAAAGATTTGAGTACTATCAAAATGAGTAGGCATCGATACTTTGATGGTATCGGAACATCCCTAATCGCGGGTTGTGCTCTAAAGAATTGTTCGGATTAATCCCAGCCACCAAATTTCATGAACGCAATACGTGGCAAACCTCCCGATACCATCTGGATGCTTGGCGGTCCACCACTGTATGTTTCAGGAGTTTTCTTCCGCGTATGACCTCTCTGTGAAATAGTTTACCACCGGCAATTTTTCTGGACCGATACAACCTAGGGACCTTCAAGGAAAGAGCTTAGTCCTTTCTAAAAGGCCAGCAATGCACCTGCAATTCCTATTGTGTTGCAGTTGTTCATGGCAGCGGTAGTCACTTAACATCAGGTAAACCGTATGCTCATTTGCCTACCGTTTGCGTCATTGCCGCTCTAATTACCTTTCAACAACAGTGTAACACAGCAAATGACAATATCAGTAGTCAGTGAGCCCGCTGCACTTAAGTGCTATGTGCATAAAATGTGTATGGCCACAAGATTCAGTTACGACCACATATGTGAGTGATTTTTACTTATTTTTTTTAACAATTATTTTATTAAAAACAATAAGTAAAAATAACTTAATCAACAATCAAACATCACATTAATTTGAAGCCTGAAGAGATAGATAAAAATATCTAAACAAAGAAACAGAAAATGAAGACTGCTTCAAAAATTGAAAACTACTTAGGTGTAAGTGAACATGATTACATACCGAACAAGAAAGCCAGGCATCCATCGACCGGCACCTAATCTTCAACATCCAAATTGAATTGACCTTCTAATAATTTATAGATATACTTTACCTACTTACTTATTGTAGATGAAGATATATATAAAATCATTTGCTATTTCTTTGATTGAATCACACATGCACAAAAAAATTACAATTAATTATAATTCAATAATATCTTTCTTCTTAACTGACTTCAAAAGAAGAAGGAGGTTCTCAATTTGACTGTATTTTTAGTGTGTTATAGTTAACTCAAGACTCAATATCATGGCTCGAATAACCACATTATTCTTGCCCACACGCAAAATATGCACTTAGACATGGAGTTGCTGAAAACAGCCCATCGTAAACTAACTAACTCAGTTTTCTAGATGAACCGATTTTGATTATTCCTTTTTATTTGAAAGCTGACACTTTTCATGTGATACCCTTATAAATATGATCAATATCTGACCAGTAGTTTTTGAGTTATCCATAATAATGCATATTTTATTGACTTTGACAACATTGATGATGTTCTCATTTTATTTATATTGAAGTTGGTTGTACAAAATTTTTAATTTTGCCACTTGTTACATGCAGGATCCTTATAAGAAAGTAAACTTTTACATTTATTAAGAAATTTCAGAATAAGATAATATTACACAGGGTTCAGTGGACCCAGTAACAAATACTTATGCAACAAATTAAGATGTGAGTCCATAAGTGTTAAGCTATTCATATGATAATCAAACAATTAATTTTTCTAAAAAATTCATATTTTTAATTTTCATATTTGTAAATTCAGCTAGCAAAATGATTGTGTGCTCATAACTAAGACAAAAGTAATATCTAAAGACAATATGAAAAAATTAAAATATACTTGCCGCTAACCCTTCTGAATCGTCTTCAGAATACTTTAAATAAGGCTGAGCTTCAAAAACCACAATAAATTTTAAAGCGGAATTGGCGGGAATGGTGCTTACTATGGCTTGACGAATTTTAGAAGCGTATTGTTTGAACTTCACTGTGCTTGATTGTAGGCTAAACATTGGGGATACTTTGCTTAACCGCCAATGGCTTTCATTGTAAATAACTGCAAATATTTATAATAATTAATAATAAACTACTTCTACACAAAATAACATAAAATCTTAACTAACCAGCCAAAGGATCGTTTGTCACATAATTATTCATGTTTGCAAAAGTTGATTTCTCGTAATCACAAATAAAAAAAAACTTTAATCAAACGACAAATAAATGCATAGTTTCAATTACTACGTTTTATCACTTATTTCACTAGACATATATCAGAAAATCACTGTCATTTAAAAAATAACACTATTTTTAAATTCTACATGTCTTTAGAATTTAAAAAGGTAATTTGTTTCCCATCGCATAGTATTAACTTCCTTTCCTTGATAAAAACGAACTTTTTAGATTTAGTTTAGTTTGTAATTAAATCACTGTGTTGAATATTGATACTGTCACTATGTACGTTTTTGCCAAAAACTTTATGGTTTGTTTTTGAATTTGAATTTTTACGTTGGATGTTTACAATTTTTTTTTTGGAGTTTATGGCCTGGTATCTAGACCTTTAGGCCAAGTCTTGAGTATTTTTATTCGGTTTATTATAATTTCCCCACTGTATTTTTGATAAATTTATACAGAGGCACGTAATAGTATCTATTTTTTAAAATATCACTCAGGCGGCGGAAGACATTCTCTAGTATATATTCAATAATCTACAGGAAGTGGATCTGGTCGAGCCCCGACGGTTCGATAAAAAATGAGATTGACTTCATTATGACGACCAGACGCCAACTGTTCAGTGATGTCTCAGTGATCGCAAGGGTGCACTGGCAGCGATCACTGAATGGTTAGAGGCACACTAAACCTATACGCTAAGTTGGAGAGGTCTCGTCTAATGAAGTCAACGCTCCGTCCCCCTCGTGCTCTGATCCAGAATTCCGAAAACATTCAGCTCGAGTTACGTAACCGCTTTCAGTGCCTAGAAGATTGCAATGCAGTGGACGATATGAATGACAAGCTTGTGGAAACTGTCCATGCGGTCGGAGCTAAGTTCTGCAAGACCCGCTGCTGAAGAACACAAAAACTCTCCGATCACACTCTTAATCTCATGACTGTTAGACGGGAGATGGGGCTGCAATCGTCAACAGATTTGACAGCATACAGGCAACTGAACAGACAGATCTCCAAATGCATGCAGCGAGACTTACGCAACTTCAATACTGCTCGTATTAAAGAAGCGATCGACTTGCGCAACTTCAATATCGCTCGTATTGAAGTAGCGATCGAGCGGAACCAGGGCTCAAAAGTCTTTGCCAGATATATCTGGCAGACATAAGAACCAACTGTCAAAGCTGAAGACTGAGTGTGGCAGCATCGTTTCCGGTACACCTGAGATTCTGAGTGAGATTGAGAGGTTCTATGGTCAGCTGTATACATCATTATCGTTGGAGCCACACGCAAGTGTGAGTAACGATCCAAGAGCAAGTCTTATCCGACACTATTCCGATGATATCCTGGACGTCAGTCTGAGCGAGATTAGTATGGTTCTCCAACACCTTAAAAACGGCAAGTCCCCGGGCGATGATGGAATTACAGCGGAGCTTCTCAAAGCGGGTGGAAAACCGGGACTTGAAGTCCTTCAGAGGCTCTTTAATTCCATCCTCCATGGTGGCACTACTCCGGAGGCGTGGAGCAGAAGTGCGGTGGTCTTGTTCTTCAAGAAAGGTGACAACGACCTCTTGAAGAACTACAGACCGATATCCATTCTGAGCCGTGTCTACGTGCTGTTTCCGAGTCATTACGAATCGTCTCACATGCAGACTCGACGACTTCCAGCCTCCCGAACAAGCCGGTTTCCGAAAAGGATTTAGTACCATAGACCACATACATACCCTTCGGCAAATTGTACAGAAGTCCGAAGAGTACAATCTGCCACTTTGCCTGGCGTATGTGGACTATGAGAAAGCCTTTGATTCCGTCGAAATTTGGGCGTTGCTACAGTCTCTTCAGCGGTGTCAAGTTGACTGTCGGTATATCGAAGTGCTGAAGTGTTTGTACAGTAGGGCTACGATGGCTATCCGAGTACAGAACCAGAATTCGAAACCTACCCAACTGCAGAGAGGTGTAAGATAGGGTGACGTTACTTCCCCGAAACTCTTCACCGCTGCATTGGAAGACTTTTCAAGCTACTGGACTGGAAAGGATACGGTATTAACATCAATGGCGAGTACATCACTCACCTTCGATTTGCCGATAATATAGTCCTTATGGCAGAATCGCTGGAGAACTTAAGCACTATGCTCAATGACCTCAATAGTGCCTCCCAACAGATAGATCTTAAGATGAACATGGACAAAACAAAGATCATGTTTAATGATCATGTCACACCTATGCCGGTCGTTGTTGGGAGCACTAAGCTCGAAGTTGTTGACGAGTACGTTTGCCTGGGACAAAAAGTCCGACTAGGTAAGTCCAACTTCAACCGAGAGGTCAATCGACGGATTTAACTCGGCTGGGTAGCGTTCGGAAAATTACAACTCATCTTCTAGTCAGGTATACCTCAAAACCAGAAAACTAAGTTGTACAACCAGTGCGTGTTGCCAGTGATGACCTACGGAACCGAGACGTGGTCCACATTACTGCCTCGTGTAGAGGCGAAACACGTGTCGTATTATCGTCGATCTTTGTTGAGAGTGATTTTGAAAATAAAAATTTTGAAAGCAATAAAACAATTATTGTAAAAAGAATTATGGTGAAGTCTGCGCAATAAAAAAAATTATAAACATTTCTTTAAAATTTAGAATGTAGCTACAGTGGTGCCACCGTTATTTAGCGTTTACCTACGGATAGCTTTTTATACAGAGTCTGTACTCCTTACCTCTACACTCCATACTTGGTATTGATCTTTTATTTACTGCTTACAGATGGACACACTTTCAACTATTCTTCTATGGGAGATTGTTCTGCTTATCTCTATACTCCATGATTGGTATAATACCAGAGAGTAGTACAGCCTGTTTCACAAAAGAAGTCCCTTAGCTGCGGCGCCAGTCTTTGCAAAGTTTGATATCTGGTGTCAAATTCCATACATTAAATTTTAGTTCGCACATTTTTCGCGGGACTTCTTTTGTGAAACGGACTGTGTGTTCCTTGGTATAATATAGGGATGACGATTCTTTCCGAAAAAGAACGATTTTTAAATCGATTCGAATCGAGATCTGATGAATCGATTCACAAAAAATCTAAGTTTAAAAGATCGATTTCTCAAAAATCGATCTTTTTCGATTTTCTTTCAGAGTTTATATCCACAATATCAAAATATACAACAAACGTACAGATAACAAACTATTATTTGATATTTCTTTTTCTTTAATCCATTAAGTGTATATATATGAAGAGACGAAAGAAACTAAGCACACAGCAGTTTTGCGAGTTTTTGAAAAGAAAAACTGTAATAATTTATGAGTTTGGGTACAAATCTATTTATCTATGCTTGGACTTTGACCAGTGTTTAAAAACTTAAAACTTTATTTTATTTATAATTATATCTTTGACTTTGACCCAAAGAATATAATTTATACTTCATAACAACTAACTAGTGGAACCTGCAACCCATTCTGCGGACACATTCTTACCAAATAGTGTTCTGTGATTCTTACAAATACAACTTCAAGTGCGTGAATGTTTAGAGTTCGTTTATGACGTTTTAATTACAATGCAACTTTATTATTAATTGGTGTCGCTACGTTTTAACCACAGATCACATTAATACTTCGTTAGTTTTATTACCAGGGAATTAATTAGCAAGAGCATTCATCTGTCATTTGCTCATTTGTTTGCTGTTGATATTTTAGACAGAAGTAAAATTTGATTTCTAGTAATTTTATGTAAACTTGTTTAATTTTTGATAAATTCATTACACAAACGTATTATAGTAAAACTTTTCTACCGTAGAGAATGGATCAATTGCGGTTTGATGGAAGAGTTGCTGTTGTTACTGGCGCTGGAGGTGGATTAGGCAAGGCTTATGCTTTACTATTAGCTTCAAGAGGAGCCAAAGTTGTGATCAATGATCTTGGTGGCGGCAGAGACGGGAGTGGCAAGTCAACATTTGCAGATGCTGTTGTTCAGGAAATCAAGAGCAAAGGTAAAGTTGGAGTATTTGCCCTATTATACATAATTTGGTATTTAGTTTTGCATAAAGGTTTTCCAGTTGTAACCAAGTAACCTTAGGCGACTTGTAGAGCAGCCCTTCCTCCACCTAGATGGATTGACAACCTGGTATGACATGCAAAAATTTGATAGCAGCGGACTTGTGAGGGTTGTAATGATGGTGATGATAATACATATGATACATTATATACATTACATGCATACAGTACAGGCCATACAATACATATTATGGTCTTTTTTTTCTACTATAGTATATATAGCAATTTGGACCAACAAGAACCTTTCATTCTTGTTCGTCCAAATTGTATTGTAAAAGATAATTTTGATTTTAACAATTTTTTTATATAGTACTTATTTATTATTCACTTAACCCGGCGAGCATGAGGTTAAAAAAAGTTACATAGAGAATGTGGCAGGGTGGGACATACCCATAATTTAATGTACCATATTTAAGATCTTATTATTATTATTTTTACTTTGATGATTTTATTATGTAAAATAATGAATGATTTAATAGAATTAAATGAAACAAGATCTTAATTGTTAAACTATTATTATATAATCATGTTTCTCATAAACTTTATAATTCAACAAAAATATTATTCTTTGGAGTGTAAATCAATTTAAAGTTAAAACATAGTGAGATCCTCCTTGTAAAAAACTTATTATAATTTTTTTTTAATTAAAAATTATGATTAATCACCACTGTCGAGATCAGCACAATTTTCGCAAATAAATTTTGCGTGCTCCATACATATGGGCTTGGCACAAGCATTCCAGGAATATTTGGTTTTTCTATCCTTCTTGTATGGACAATCCTGACATCTGACATATCGCCTGGGTATATTCACATGTCTAGGCGAGGGCTCACCAAACTGTTTTAAGATTCGCTGGCGGATGTAGCTTAGAGTATGCTTTTTTGACTTTCTTGAATGTAGGTGTTCGTAAAACATGAATTAAAAAAATTATTAATCACGAAAAAAATAAAATTA